GAATACTGAATATACTAAGGACTGTCGGAAGAACAAACAAATCTGTCTTGGAAGAAGTATAGCCAGAATGCTTCTTAGAAGCGAGGACGGCGAGACTTCATCTCACATACTTTGGACATGTTATCAGGAGGGACCAGTCCCTGGAGAAGGACATCATGCTTGGTAAAGTAGAGGATCAATGAGAGAGGAAGACCCTCAGTGAGATGGATTGACACAGCGGCTACAATGATGGGTTCAAGCATAGCAATGATTGTGAGGATGGTGCAGGACCAGGCAGTGTTTCGTTCTGTTGTACGCAGGGTCACTATGAGTTAGAACTGACTCAACAGCACCTAACAACAACTCCTCTATGGTTCTCCCTATTCTGGACATCTCATATAAGTGGAATCATATAATATGTGGCTTCTTGTACTTAGCATAATGTTTTCAAGGTTTACCCAGTTTGAAGCTTATCTCAATACTTCTTTCCTTTTTACAGCTGAATAATATTCCACTGTACTTATGTACCACATTTTGTTTATTCATTCACCAGCTGATGGACATTCGGGGTTGCTTCCACTTTTTGCTATTAGGAATAAAGCTGCTATTAACATTTTTGTACAAGTTTTTGTGTGGACATACATTTTTAATTCTCTTCAGTATATACCTAGGAATAGAATTTCTAGGTGACTGTATTATTTTTATTATAATAGTAATAAAACAGAACTATTTTTCAGTCTAAAATGTTTAGTGTCAGCACCACCAAACACAGGGTCACACAAATTCCTTGCCTGCCACAGAAGACAAGATACTATTATTGAGAAGGCAGCCATGGAAAAAGAAAAAGATCACTTACCTATTTGACAAAGTTATCAGTCTCTAACAGGCATTTATGATAGATGGTAAGATTTAATCACTTTATTACCAGGATTCCAGGGTGAACACATTAATAAACTGAGGCTGTAAGCTGCCTAAAAGTCCTGTATTTATTGACAAGGCCAAAAAAAATACATTTTTGTATATATTCACATTTTGTTCATCCTTTTTTCTTGTCACAGGTTTTCCAATGACAGCTAGATTTTATCACTTGATTTATAAGACCATTTTACAAACTCAACTTTCATAGCTTAAACATTTACTACACCAATGCAGAAAACTGCAAAGTCATGCTATGGTAATAATTAAGATGACCTCCCTTGTGCTTTCAAGAAAAAACAGGTAAATCACAGGAAAGTTAAGCAAGCAAAATTTTTAAAATCAGAATTAACCTTCTGGTCAAACATTCATTGTATTCTTCTCATTGTCTTAAAATCTTGAGGTGGATTTTCCTGTACACTATGCTATATCTGATCAATAACCTATCTGGCCAAGAAAAGATAAAGTACTTATTTCAGACGCAAACTATGCTGAAACAGCATTCTAATAAACCTGAAAGTTTATCACGTCCTCTACATGTTAAAAATTCCTACTGCTCCAGCCATATTCCAATATTACAGAGGTGTCTATCTAATTGCTAAGAAAAAGTAGTCTTCTTACATCACAGTTTATGGTGGAAAGTGTAGGCTTTTGAGACACCTGTCTTCAAAATCCATCTCAACCACTTACCACCTGTGACGTGGGGCAAATTAAAGTTTCTGAATCTCAGTTTCCTAATAAAATGTGCCTAAAAGATACATAACTTTGTAGAGATGCTATGAGAAATAAAAACAACACTTTTTCATAAAGCATGTACTTACATGCTAACAGCTTCTGCCATTCTTCTTATTAATTTTATTTTTAGTACTAAATTTGTTGTACCGTGGTTATCCTTAGATGGTTGGTTAAATATAGGGGAAAAAAATCTACTCTTCTATAACACAAATATTGATCCTGCTCCTCTTATTCCCATTTGAGTTTTAAAATAGATTGTACCGTAAAACTTGGGGTGAGAAAACCATGAAGTCTAAGCAATTATATCATCTATGCTAGAAATAAAATTGATCTACTTATTTTGGCTTATAATCTACACTTAATTTGCTTCTTATTTCAAAGTGATTATATCCCTTTTGATGTATCAACAAGAAAAAATTCACCTCAATAAAAGGCTGAAGTAGTTGGTTTCTAGAGCTTGTTATAGAAGCGGGGAAGCGCTTATGTTAATAAGCACTGAATTCAGATAGAGACGAAAATTGGGATCATCGGGACTTTTACAAATTACGTATAAACCAGGGCTTCAAACCAGTTCAAACCAGTTCGGTCATGGCCAACTAAGCAAAACAGAACAGACTGGTTTACAATTTCAGTAAACCGGAACAATAACCGGAATGGGAAAAATTACGAGTAGCAGCCCTGGAATGGGAGAAATCAGAAGAGGTGTAGTGAGCTCTTTTAGGAGTCTGATGCATGAGACTGGATTATTGGCAGGACTGTGGAGAGCGACACACATTCAAAGCAGCCTGGTTGGCCACCATCTTTGAGCGAGGCAGTGCTGTTTCCAACTCTCCTCAAAATCCCACAGGCAAGAGATTTAGTTGCTATGCAACGCATGCCTGCCCTTATTTTCTAAGAGTGAGATTAGGTTTCTAGTAGGGCTTCCACTCGTAATTTTTCCCATTCCAGTTATTGTTCCAGTTTACTCAAATTTTAAAATTCAAGTCTGTTCCAGTTTTGCTTCCTCAGCCATGAATTAACTGGGAAGATGGGAAGAACCAGTTCAAAGCCCTCATATAAACAAGTCAATATGTTCTATTTGAATGCATCACTGCCAACTATTATTAAAATGAAAGCTCAGTTATCTATTGTGATAGCAAAATATCAATTTCTTAGAACTTTAATTAAATTATTATTAGTTGACTTTGAGTAAAGAGCCAAATGTGCAACTACTGGACTCAGGCGTTTATTTACGAAACATCTAACCTCTGGAGTTCTTCTAAAACGGATAAATACCCTGTTAGTCAAATTTCTAACACTGTCTACATCATAACACAGTATCTGATCATGATAATTCTAATGCACTGTTATTTCTTAACAAAAAACATTCTGTTCCATTTAATAGGGTCTTATTATCAAGATGAGACTTGAACGCCCAAGGACAAGAACCAGAAAATCCCAAATTTTCTGAAATGCAAAACCCTCGCTGGAATTAAAGACAGAAACTCTAAACTACATAGGAAGGATGCATTCACAAATTCACAAATTAACTTGAGTACTTGTGGACACATTTTTCTAAAAAAACACAAATGTCAGCCCTTTTATCCATCCAGTATATTCAAATTCTAAAGGATTATAAGTCCCTAGAATTCATCAACCTATGACTCCGTGGGGGCCTCACATTCCTCCCTGTCTCCTGACACTGGCTCCATCCCCACTCCTAGTTTCCCACATGTCCAAATTCCATGCATTTACCACTCTGTGCTTTTAACTTCTATACAGACAACAACCATGGGTGCATGAAAGAGCAGTCAAAAAGAGAAAAATCTAGTTACCTCAAAATAAAAGGGGAAAATAGTAACATTTTCACTTGGTGTTTGTGAATCAATCAGAATCCATGTAAACAAACATTTATAACAGATGCTAACTTTGTATAGATATATACGCCCTTCTTCCTTCTCTAGCTATTACAGGCAAGTGCCTGGCTCTGGAGAAAACCCTATTCAAAACCTGTCTATTCAATCACATTCCTGCTTGGAATCACATTACATCATTATGATAATCAAGCAGCATTCTGTTTAATACACAATAAGTTGAAGCCTTCGAGTAAGTAGCAAGAATAAAAGTTTGGCAATAACAAACAGTGATAGAATAAAAGAGGATAAAGAAAACACCAAACTTTCTTTTCATAATAAAACATGAGAATGGAGTTTAAGCCATCAATTTTATCGTCTGAAACGAATCAAGCCCTGAAAATTGTTTCATGAAAATGAACACATCTTAATATAAAAACAACCAAATCCAAACCCATTGCCATCGAGTAGATTCTGACACATAGCAACACTATGGGACAGAGTAGAACTGCCCCATAGGGTTTCCAAGGCTGTAATCTTTACGTAAGCAGACTGACTGCCTCATCTTTCTCTCGTGAAGCAGCCGGTGGGTTCGAACCACTGACCTTTTTGGTTAGCACCCAAGCACTTAACCACTGTGCCACCAGGGCTCCTTCATCTTAAAATGGAATTTAAAAAAACAAAACAACCTCTAGGAGGTGCCACTCTACATACAAAATGTGAAAGAGTAATAGAGCAAGAAAAGGCAACTTTCACACGCACCCGAAAAGCTGCCACAAGGCATTTTATCAAAACACAACATTTGTGCCTAGATTTACCATACCTGAACATACTGTTGCGCCATGCTGCATGTTAATAAAAAATACAAAACAAAAATACGGACATGTTAGCAGAATAAAATGTAAAGTTGTTGCATGGAGAATAACAAAATTAATTCACAAGCTTTTACATTCAGTATTTAATATGGACTACCTTATTTTTAACTCAGTTAACAAATCACACAGCTCTTAGTTATGAGTGCATTACCCAAGAGGTGAGTTCAATTTGTTTAAAATATTTTGTCCTTTTCAGATTCCAGGGCAAACTGTAAGATCCTATTACAAGAGCCTCCTTCTTGTAAGTCAATTGTTCAATTCACTTATTAGAGGAACACAGAGAATGAAAGAACAAAGGTATTCCTTTTAGGTTGTGTCTACTTGATGCCATTTATAAAATAAAGACTGTAGTCCTTATTTAACATCAGGTAAAAACAACCATTGTCAAAACTCAGTACTACCTCCAATCTAAAGGAATAAAACTGTTTGTAACATTAGCCATGTAATATACATTTTAACTGAAAAAATAGGAAGCTGTCTTGCTAACACGATTAATGATAGAGAAATCTTGCATTCCACACTGTCTTACGATACAGTTGTTCATAGTTCTTAGTGCAGAGATTAGCAGCTGTCATTTACAACTTTTTAATATATTCAGAAACACGATGACTCAGCTTCACTAACTTGCCAGTGGCAAAAGGGGTGACCCCACTCTAGTACTTACTTCTCTTCTGTGACACCGCCTGCAAGCATGCAGTCACAATATCGCAGTTCTTCTGCACTTTATGCAGAAGCCTATCTTTCTGCTTCAGCTGCCGAAGTAACTTCGCTGACTGAATGCCGATTCTGTACTTCAGCTCTCGAAGGACTGTCTTCAGTTCACTGGTGTCTATTAGTAAAGAAAAATTAAACACAGAACAATAAATACCTTGAGAAGAATACAAATTCCAATGTCATGTTATTTAAAAGATATATATCTAGAATATCCATTTAAACTAATTCTGGGTTCTCACCCAGGATTATATGCATGTATTCAGCTACGACATTCTGAGTGAACAGTTAGTCAGTCAGTCATCTTCTGTCCCTGTCCACGACACAAATACCATAAGTTTTATCCTTAAGACTACCAGTAACATGTAAGCAAAGACTCTTTTGCAAATTTACTTTTTATTGCCTGAAAATTGACATATACATTTGCATTACTAAAGTGTTCAGATGGTAAGCTTGCAAGAAAAGAATCTTTTTGAGTCAGTTACATTAATGCTAAACCTAACAGCTGGTAACAGTATTTTTAAAAAGCACTCACCCTTGTTTGTAAATGAATAGCTAAAAGTAAATAATATTATCACATTTTCTAACGTGGATGAATGTGGCAGTTCTGGTTTTGTTTTACATATAGAGTTTCCTGATAGCCTGCTAGGCACAATCTTTCATCTTAGACACTCAGTAATTTCTCAAATATGGTAGAAAAGACATTTAAATGCAGATAAGGAGAATTCTACATTCATAAAACTAATATTCTCAACAATAGCCTTTCTACAAGTAAGAAAAAGACTTGGGAATGAGAATTGTCAACAATTTCCATGATGACTTGGGAGTTTTTTTCATCACACTCGATACCATCATCAGTGAAGCTTTCCACTCAGCTTGGTATTGGCCAGGACCTCACTAAAGACCCTGTCTGGGGTTTGGATCTACTTATTTTTAAAGGGATTTGGAGAAACCAGAGAGGATTAGAAAAGAACAGAAGATACATTCTAAAGTAGGAAAGGTAGCTCAGAGATCAAAGAAAATGAACTTTTGTAAAAGAGAAGTATTAGTGGTGATTTAACAACTGTCATACCTGACCATACCATGGAAAATGCATTTGACCTTGAGTCAAAGAGAACTGCCTTCGGATCAACCTATGTGATCTTGAGCAAAATAGTCTCAAATTATGTCTAGCATACAAGATTATTCTATGAATCAAATGTGAATGGACTTTGTAAACATCACCATAGATAACACCTTAAATAAGTATAAGGAATTGCTATGAGGATGAGAGCAGAGGCGAGTTTTTCCTGTCATCCTGTGGAGCCCTGGTGGCCCAGTGGTTAAGAGCTCGGCTGCTAACCAAAAGGTCGTCAGTTTGAATCTACCAACCTTGGAAACCCAATGCGGCAGTTCTACTGTGTCTTATAGGGTTGCTATGACTCGGTTTGGTTTTTGTTTTGAGTTCAAATGTGGTGGAATAAAACAGGAAGCAAGAGCACAGTTAGGGCAAATGAAAATATTTGGATTCTAAGGACGATTAAACGTGGGAACAAGTAATAAGAGGAGTCCAAAAGCTCTCCACTCCTAGATCCCTTCAAATAATTTTCCTTCTAGAAATAAAAGGTATGGAAATTATTTAAACATTCAAAGGAAGTTTGCTTGTTTTATTAAAAAGGATCTAGAACTATCCATAAGTGAGGAAACTAAGACACTGAAAGGTTAAATAGTTGCCTAAGGTCACACAGCAAGTAAGGAGCAGTGGCAGAATATCAATCCAGGCAAGCCTGACTCCAAAGTTCATCCCCTTAACCATGGCAACGTGGAGGAGACAGCCAGGAGAAAGCCCAGATCTGAGACACCTCTGTGCTGCCTCACATAAAGGACCAACACATGCTAAATATCTAAATAGGGGCAAAATCCCTGACAGTAAGAAGAGAGAATTAACAACCAGATCACAAGTTATCAATATTACATGAGACTCTTACTGAATGCAGAGTAGTTACGTTAGAAGGGATATTTTTTGACCCTCAAATAAAAAGTCAAATAACCTAATAAGTATTATTCAGGCACACAGCTGTTTCCATCACCTGATTCTTTAGCACTTTAATGATGTGTATCAATCAAGGTGTGGGTGTACCTGTGTGTGGTGTCGTTAAGCGCCATCAAGCTGATTTCGAGTCATAGCAACCTCACGTGGCAGAGTAGAACTGCCCCATAGGGTTTTCTAGGCTGTAATCTTTACCGTAGCTGATTGCTAGGTCTTTCTCCCGAGGAGTGGTGGGGTGGGTTTTAACCACCAATCTTTCGATTAGCAGCCAAGCGTTAATGTTGCACCACCAGGGCTCCTTAAATGTGTGTGTAGGACTATTATAATATGACTCCTTTTCATCCTAATCAGATCAACTACAGGAAAGAAAGGCTAGCAGGCAGCTAGCCGTGCAATAAGACTGGAACTTGGGCTAAACAAACTCTTACAGGTCTCTTGTGACTTTGCAAAGCTGTACCTCTTTAAACTTTAGCTTGCCGATTTTTCTCTTCCAAAAGGAAATTACTAAACCCCAAAACTCCCTCGGTAACGAAAAGTGAACAGCTTTGTAAAAAAAGAAAGCCAAATCATAATTCTTATAAACTGATTTTGTTGGAGTCTGAAACAACTGTTGCCCTAAAGAACTCTTGGCATAAACAGACACTCTGAAAACAGCCAAATAATTGTATAAAATGACATGGCACAACTCCAGTCAAAGTCAGGGCAGGGGGAGGAAGGTGGAAGCCATTTGTAACAACCAACTAGGAAAAAACCTTCACTAGGAAGCCAAAAGAGGAAGCTGAAGCTGTTCACGCAGATTTGAGAAAGCAGACAGATTTATTCTTTTTTGGTCATTTATTTTTTTCTGGCACCAGCAAGACTAATTTTACAATTAGGAAACAGGAGAATAGTACTCTTTCCTCCCTCCCCTGGTAATTTAATTTAGCACAAGGTCACTACTTTAAAGAAGTCTTATTGTGGCTTAGCATGTCCTCCACACCTCACTTCATTTTGTAAATTGGGGTCTTGATATAGCTATACAAAAATACAACTATAATAATTGCATTAATATCTAAAAAGCAAGTTATTATGAATAGCTGAGGAGGGGGAATTAGGATTCAAGTATCAAGTCTGATAACAAAAGAAACACCAAATTACCCTCTCCCACTGAAAACCAAGGTCATTTCTGTAGATTGACCTCCCCACACCAACTGAAGGTACCAGGGATTAAATTCTTTGGTAACACCAAACTCTAGGGCTCGCTACTCATCTGCCACAGAGAAAAACATCCACCAAGTGAGTCAGCATCCATTCGATGGCTACTACCTTGATTTGGTTTAGTGGCTCTTTAGAACCAGGCGTTCTGGCAGAAATGGAATTCACACGTTCTCTTCCGAAACTGCATTACCGGATTATTCCGCCTCACTAGTTAAACACTATCAAGTGGTGCGTACACACAAAGACACACACACACGCTCCTAGGTAACCTCAGGTGTGCTTAACAGAAACACCAAACCTATACTAACAGCTGTTCCAGGAAATTCGCAACCTGTGCTACCTCTCCCCTAAGGCCTCTGACGACCTTCCTCCTTCCCACAGGGTGGAAATGGGGGTGGGGCGCCCCGCCACCACCATTCCAACAACTGATGATCCTCTACTTGACAACTTGAGAAGAGATGGGCGAGGGCGGGGGAAAACGGCATTAAGAACTAAGTTTAGTCATGAGTCTGTGACCCCGTCCAGCAGCCTCAGATCGAGGAGATGCCCCAAACTTAACATCTGAGGGCTTGGCCAATCAGTCCACGTGTGCACAGGTGAGCGAGCAAGCACGGGCAGAGCGGGCGGGAGCTCGGCTTCGGGAGGCTCCTGGGATGTCCCGTCCCTGGGCCCTCACCTTTCTGCCGCAAGTACTGCATTTGGTGCCGCTGGCTCGACCGCTCCTGCAGCTCCTGCAGCACGCGGGAGTCGCCCGCGCTGCCGCGGCCGCCCAGGAACACGTCGGAGCCCGAGGCCTCGGTGGAGCTGTCGAGGCTGTCCCAGCGCCGCCGGCGGCCGCCGGATCCTCGTCGTCTGCCGCCGCCCGCCGTCTCCTCCTCCTCGGCGCAGCTGTACAGCTCGGTGAGCAGCCCGCTCACCAGGGACGCCGTGCGGCTCGTCCGGCCGCCCCAGGGCTCGCAGCGCTCCGAGTCTTCCTCGCCCTCCCAGGCTCCCGGGGCACCGAGCGGCCGCTCCGCCGGGGGTGCCCCCCGAACGACTGAGTCCGGGGACACTCCCGGCTCGGCTTCCTCCAGTGCGTCATCCGGCCTTGCTTTGCGACCGCCGCGCAACTCAAACTCTAGGCGCCCCGTCCCGGCTCTGCCCGCGGGAAGGAGCTCCATGGCCCCCGGCGCACAGCGGTGCCGCACTCGCGGCTCCTCCTGCCCTGTTCGCGGCGCCCCGCGCCCCGCCGCGCCCGCCAGTTCCGGGAGGAGGCGTGGCCCCATCCCTGGCTAGGCTGCCCGCGGCGCGGGCGCGCCGCCAACCGGCTGAGGATCTCCGAGGCTCCCGAACCTCCCCCCAGCCCACTGGCGCTCGGCTGCCGGCCAGGCCAAGAAGGAGGGCGGCCACGCCGCTGGACTACCTGGAGACACCCGCTGCAGATGAGGCCCGACCTCACCGGTGGGCACTCTCCGAAGAGAGCCAGGGAGCAGGGTATAGCCAGAACAGGATCAGGAAGAAGCCTTCAGTCTGGAGTGGGGAGGGCGCTCTGGCAGCTGCCACCTTCTCTTGAGCAAGTGATTTAACTCAAGATGAGGGCGACTCTTGCATCCTGTTCAGCCAGCAGTTAGAAATAATACCCGAGAGGGTTCTAAACGCCAATAAACAGACCCGAGCCAGGAGCTCCCTTCTTCACATTCTCAGGCAGAAAGCCCAGTTCTCACCTTCCCACCTGCTTTGAGAGCGTCTAAAAGGTTCTTGTGACACAGTAGTTAAGCACTCACCTGTCAACTGAAATGTCAGCAGTTCAAACCCACCAGCCACTCTGCGAAAGAAAGATGTGGCAGTTGGCTTCCATAAAGATTGTTGTTGTTAGGGGCCTTCAAGTCAATTCTGACTCATAGCGACCGTATGTACAACAGAAGGGAAAAAAGATTGCAGCCTCGAAAACCCTATGGGGCCATTATACTCTGTTCTATAGGGTCGCTATGGGTCAGAATCGACTAGACTGCGAAAGGTTTATTTAAGCGTTCTTGGTTTCTTACAATAACCTTCCTAAACCTCTGAAGACTTGGCACATACTTGAGACTTAATAACAGAACTTTTTTCTTTAGGGAAAATAAACTACTGGATTAGATCAATTTATTTCGTGGCATAAGACGTAGCACAGACTAAGGGCTTCAGAAATGCCCATGGGGTAACTGAATCGATAAGTGGATGGAGCTAGCTTCGACGTTAAAGTCAAAAGTTTGCAAGAGATCATGAAAGATGTATCTTTACCCTAGACTTTGGTGGAAGAATTCTGAGACGTCTCTTCACTGTAGATATGTTTGTGAATTTAATAATTGTTAACATCTTTCAGCACTCTTTGTACGCCAGAAACCATTCTTAGTGATTTACATGAATTATCCTATTTAATTCTCACTTTAATCCCATAAAACAGGTAAGTACTATTTTATCCTCACTTTTCAGATGAGGAAGCCGAGGCACAGAGTGGCTGAATAACCTGAAGCTTCACAAAGAATATAGTGGCCTTTTTTTTTTTTTTGGTGGAGATGTACATAACAAAGCATACATCCATTCAACATTTTCTACATGTACAGTTGAATGAAGGAGTCTTGGTGGCGCAGTGGTTAAGAGCTTGGCTGTTAATCAAAAGATCAGCAGTTAGAACCCACCAGCCGATCTGCGGGAGAAACGACCTGGCGATCTGCTCCTGTAAAGATGACAGCCTGGGAAACCCTATGGGGCAGTTCTGCTCTGTCATATTGGGTCACTATGAATTGGAACTGACTTGACAGCACACAATGACAACACAGTACAATGACATTGGTTACATTTTTCACATTGTGTCACCATTCTCCCTATTATTTCACCACCGTTAACTTAGACTCTCTGTCCCCTAAACCTTTCCTCTGTTTTACAGTTACTGTGTAAAGTTAGATCTCACATAGATAATTCTTTACAAGAGCATACTGCTGAAGGTGAACATTCTTTACTAGATGGGCTAAACTGTTGTTTAGTTTAAAAGGACAGTTTTGGTTCAAGGCTTAAAGATTATCTCAAGGCAATCGATTTGGGGTCTTCCCCAGTCTCAATGGATCCAGTAAGTCTGGTTTCTTTAAGAATTTGAAATTCTGTTAGACATTTTTCCTCCTTTTGATCAGGATCTATCTATTGGGTCTTTGATCAAAACGTAAAGTAATGGTAGCTGGGCACCATCCCATTCTTCTGGTCTCATGGCAATGGAGGCAATTAGACCCGCAGTCCATTTCCTTCTCTGATTCCTGGGTCTCCTTCTTCCTCTGCTATTCCAGGGAACAGAGACCAATTGTTGTATTTTGAATGGCCACTGGCACACTTTTAAGACCCCAGGCTCTACAAATTGACTTTTTCTTAAAGCTTAGCTGGGAAGGCATATTCCTTAAAGTGTCTGGCTTTCATTATGGATGAATACATAGTTCATTATGGATGAGATGCATGTTCATCTATTTCCTAGTGCTATTAAATACTTGCCAAACTTCTAAAAGGAGTAACAGTGCACCTGATGAACAGTCATGGTGTTTTGTGTTTGTTTAGCACACTTTTTATTTTTCAAGGAATTTTCATAATAGAGCCTGACCCTATAGAGAAAAGCCTGATGTCCCTTGATACTACCACCACAACACATGTAGACAGAGTGAAAGCAATCAGACCCTTTCTAAAATTGGAGTTAATATCAGGAAAGGGGAAGTTTTATTACTTTTCCCTTTGTTATTGTTGTTAGGTGACGTCGAGTCAGTTCCAACTCACTCAGCAACCCTATATAAAACAGAATGAATCATTGCCAGGTCCTGTGCCATCCTCACAATCATTGTTATGTTTGAGCCCACTGTTGCAGCCACTGTGTTAATCCATCTCGCTGAGGGTCTTCCTCTTTTTTGCTGACAGTCTGCTTTACCAAGCATGATGTCATTTTCCAGGAACTGATCCCTCCTGATAACATGTCTAAAGTATCTGAGACGTACTCTCGCCATCCTTACTTCTAAGGAGCATACTGGCTGTACTTCTTCCAAGACAGATTTGTTCATTCTTTCGGCAGTCCATGGTATATTCAATATTCTTCACCAAAACCACAATTCAAAGGCGTCAATTCTTCTTTGGTCTTCCTTATTCACTGTCCAGCTTTTGCACGCATATGAGGCAAGTGAAAACACCATGGCTTGGGTCAGGCGCACCTTAGTCTTCAAGGTGACATCTTTGCTTTTTAACACTTTAACAAGGTCTTTTGCAGCAGATTTGCCCAGTGCAATGCATCACTTGATTTCCTGACTGCTGCTTCCATGGTGTTGATTGTGGATCCCATTAAAATGAAATCCTTAACAACTTCAATTCAAACTTTTCCCTTAGGTATCCAGAATATAAAATTATTATTTTATGGATTTGTAACCATATTAACTACTATTATTTCCATTTAATTTAAAATTGTATGAAATGGGGGGAATGGAATTATTTTGTTGTTGTTTGGTTTTGGGGGGGTCTTTTCTTTCTATCATTCCCTGTACTGAATAAAGTTCTGACAGCCTTCCTTCATATACCAAACTTTGCAACAAGGAGGACTTTCATAGCGGGAAACACTGATATTGGATCTCTTTTCTTAGTTGATCCCAGCCCTTTCTCTCTGTCTCCACCCACTAAAAAGAGATGTGATAACTACTAGTCTTCAGCACTATTCACATTTAAGGTATCCCTATCAGGACCTATGAATAAAGAAATTCAAAATGAACTGTAGGGGATGGAGAAAGAGGCCAGGAAAAGCAATAGGTCATTGACATCCAACATTTTCTGTATTAATCAGAACTTCAAAATCATTTCCCTGAGCAGCAAAAGATCAAATACATAAATTGGACTTCATGAAATTAAAAACTTTTGTGTATCAAAGAATTTTATCAACAAGGTGAAAAAACAACCTACACATTGGGAGAAAAACTGGGGGGAACCATATATCTGATAAGGGTTTAATATCCAGAGTATGTAAAGAACTCCTGCAACTTAACAATAATAGTGCTTGGAAACACAATAGTGTTTCCAAAAGTGGAAACAACCTAAATATCCATCTACAGATGAATGAATAAACAAAATGTGATACATACATACAATAGAATACTACTCCGTCATAAAGAGAAAAGAAGTCCTGATACATGCTACAACATGGAGGAATCTTGAAAACATTATACTGAGTGAAATAAGTCAGTCACAAAAGACAAAAATTGTATGATCCCACTTATATGAAATAGGCAAATGTATAGTGTCTTAGGCTGGGTTTTCTGGAGAAGCAAAACCAGTGAAGTGTATATACATAGAGAGAGAGAGATTTAGCTCTAGATTTATCTTCTACGCAGTTGAAGCGGCTGGCAAGTCCCAAGTCTGTGGGTCAGGCATCAGGCTGGAGGCTTCTCCTAACTCATGTAGCTGCAGGGGCTGACGAACCCAAGATCAGCAGGTCAGATGGCAGGCCACTGGCTCACAAGCTGCGGAAGCTGAGAAATCCAAGATCGGCAGGCAACACAGCAGGCTGCTGGCTCAAGTCCTAAGAACTGGAGGTCAGATGATGACAAGCCAGATGCAGGATCCAGACCAAGCAAGCAAGCTTTGCCAGACGTCCATATATATATTGGATGCAGGCCACACCCCCGAGGAAACTCCCCTTACAACTGATTGGCTGATTACAGCGTATCACATCATGGTGGATGACTATATCATTACACAACTGCCAAACCACTGAGAATCATGGCCCAGCCAAGTTGACACACAACCTTAACCACCACATATAGAGACCAAAATTTATTAATGGTTACCAGAGTTAGGAGGGAGAGGGCAAAGGAAGAGTCTCTGCTTAGCGGGCACTGAGTTCCTGTTAATGATGGTGGAATAATTTGGGAATGGATAGTAGTGATAGCTGTACAACATAATGAACACAGTCAATGTCACTAAATTTTATATGTAAAAAAATATTGGATTGGCAAGTGTTGTTATATATATATATATATATATATATATACATATTTTTTACCACAATAAAACAATTAAAAAAAGAAAAAATCATGTCCCATTTCCCATCATTACCAAATCACCTGAGGAAAGGAAATAATTAAAATAAAAACCAACAAAGAAACCCTGCTCAAGGCACTTTCTGTAATGATCTTCCCAGAGATATCCACATAGCTCTTCTCTCACCTGCTGTGTTAGCTCTCTGCTCAAACGTCACCTTCTCAGAG